TCCGTTTTCAAATTCCTCTGGCGTAGTGTGGACGGAAAACATTTGATGCGTTTTCAGAGTGAAACCTCCGTTTTCGAATTCCTCCAGCGTAGTGTGGACGGAAAACATTTGATGCGTTTTCAGAGTGAAATCTCCGTTTTCGAATTCCTCCGGCGTAGTGTGGACGGAAAACATTTGATGCGTTTTCAGAGTGAAGCCTCCGTTTTCAAATTCCCCCGGCGTAGTGTGGACGGAAAACATTTGATGCGTTTTCAGAGTGAAACCTCTGTTTTCAAATTCCTCTGGCGTAGTGTGGACAGAAAACATTTGATGTGTTTTCAGAGTGAAACCTCTATTTTCAAATTCCTCCGGCGTGGTGTGGACAGAAAACAAATGATGTGTTTTCAGAGTGAAACCTCCGTTTTCAAATTCCCCCGGCGTAGTGTGGATGGAAAACGTTTGATGCGTTTTCAGAGTGAATCCTCCGTTTTCAAATTCCCCCAGTGTAGTGTGCACGGGGCCTTGACCACATCATTACATTTTCGTAAAAATGTTATCAAAACCACTTTTTGTTGTGTAGAGTCACTCATGTAAAACATTAATTTTGTGGTCAAAGTCAAGTTAACGTCTGTATTTCATTTCATTCATTAACAGTGCTGTCAAAGACTGTACCTATGTAATTCATGTGGCTTCCCCGTTCCCGGCCGAAAATCCAAGAGATGAGATGGAGGTTATAGGACCAGCAGTGGAAGGAACTAAGAATGTACTTGAAGCTTGCGCCAAGACCAAGGGTGGTGTTAAAAGAGTTGTGTTGACAAGTTCTTGTGCAGCAATTTATTGTAAGGGAGCTAGGGAATCATATGAACTGAGGGACGGACAATTAATTTTTTGAGGAGCGTGGGGTGGGGGAGCAACTTTCTGTGGCATGTATTTTTTTTCCTCACCTTTAGGCTGTGCAGGATTTTCCAGGTTGTTTTTGGTGGGAAAAGGGTGAGCGAAAATGTTTTTAAAAGTCAAACACAGGACTTCGATGGTAGAAAGCACTTGTTCGTTTTTTTTAGGGGGGGGGGGGGGGGGGGGGGNATTACTTCACTGTGGTTGACTGAGAGCGGGCCAAAGGCGTTTATTTGCAGTGCAAATTAGGGACGGGCCCTAATTTTTTTGAGGGGGGTGGGGGGAGGGGGGGAAGGAATAAGAAGGGGGAATTGCCCAAACCTGCCCTCAAAAAATGATGGTCCTTCCCTAAGTCAAATCACTGGAGAGTTAATCAGTGAGATAATTTAAAATAAAACAACAACCCTTTTCGATATAGAGGATCACAAAACGTAAAAATAATCAGTAACTTAACTTACGTGTTTTTACGTGATTTTTGTAAGTTTCCAATCTTAACTTTTACAAGACCTAAAGGAGAGGTTGAAAGTTCAAATCACAGAGTACATCTGCAGGTACACTTGAAAATGTCCATGAGGTCTCCAACGTAAAATACTAAGTTAAATAAGTAAAATATTGTTGTAAAATGCTTGTAATTATGACCTTTTCTTTTCAGGAATTCTCCAGCAGAAACCCTTTCCTGTTAAAATTTAATGCCTAGTTCACACTAGCAACATAACGACATAACGACATTGCGACATAATCACTTATGTAGGTAATGTGAACATTGACATAAAGACATAAGGAAAGATCAGTTTTTTCCTTATGTCGTTATGTTGCTATTATATCATTACGTCAGGATGTTCACACTGCAAACGTAATGATATAACGTCTCTCTAATGTCGTTATGTTTATATCGTTCTGTCACTAGTGTGATCTGAACTAGGCTTAACTCCACCAGCAACCGTTGTCCGATTGATCTTGATATTTTTTACAATGAAAAATCGTGTTACGCCTGTGTTTATGACTTGATATGTTTAATCTGTTCGTAGCGGGTCGGGTCGGGGAAGATATTGTCTTTACTGAGGAAGACTGGGCATCTGAGGAGAAGAGCGTCCCATATGAGAAGAGCAAGCGTCGCGCTGAGTTGGCAGCCTGGGAACTAGTCAAGGGTTTACCAGGTATAATGTTTACTAGTACAGGATTAAGGACGGTGCCTACTAATTGCAAAGGTTTTGCGCCAGGTTAGGACCACGCGGAAAAAGTAGATCTTTGCAAGGGCTATTGGATTCTACAAAGAAAAATGGAGATAATAGCTGGTTTTCACATGACGTCACTAAAATTCGAACTCCAAAACTATTGATCTTCTTGAGATTTTACTTAAATGATGTATAAGAGCAGCTGAAAACTAGTATTCATACAAATTTCGCTCCGAATGGGTTCTTGGTTTTGTGATACACTACGCTTGAATTTCTAAACTTTTGCGTGACGCGGCATTTACATGACGGCTTTGAGAGCTGTCATGATGGTTAAAAAAGTGACTTATTTCGGGGAACTTGGCTATCTGAACAGTTCATGTCTTAGAAAAAGTATCATTTTAATGTTTT